GCAAATAATTATAATCGGCGGGGGAGGTCGAAAAACTATTATCACAGAATTTTTATGAACGGCTGTCATTACTTTGAAACAATGAAACTCAGATATTTAATTTGACCTTGGAGAACCGGATGATCAGTGGCGTGATAGACTCTTTTTCATAACGTGCCTTATTTTTTTTACTAATTTTCCTTTATAATTTCGGATCACGTGATTCCAAGCGGATTGACAGGTATCCGATATTTCTCCTTCTCAAAAGTTTACATTTCTCTTTTTTATCTTTTCATTAACAAGTAACCGCAAAAAAAAAAAAAAAAATTTAACAGCTATCGCGATAACGATTGTTTTGCGTTGAAACATTTTCGAGGTTTACTTAACAAAATTGCACTAAATCTCAGCGTGATGGAGAGGAAGCCAGCGAGGCACGTGTATTGCATGAGCCCCTCCCGGTTGCTTTAATGTCACATTCGTTGATACAAAATATATATATGAGGAATTATAATTTATTTATTTTGAGTAAATTAAAGCTATGTACTATATTTACATAGATTTATGCCTTAAGCGGGTAATTGCCGGGTTAGGGAAAACGGAGAGGTCTTACGTAAATACGTTAAATTTTATAAACAATAACAAATAATCATTTTTATTCAAGATCGATTCGAATTGAATCACGAACAAGAAATTAAAAAAAATTTCTATAAAAGAAGAGCGAAAACTCTGCAAACGATAATTATAAATAAAAAAAATAGACTGAATACTGAATTTTCAAACTAGTAAATTTCATAATTCTAACAATAACACAATACATTCATTTATAACAAAATACGAAAATAATATATGAAAATATTGCGACCTTAGAACTGTAGCGTTGACAATTCAAATAATTTATTTAAAATGTGCGAATAATAAATGTGTTAAAAACTTACAATGATAATGACAAGAAACACAAATTAAAATTTTTATTTTTTTTTAAAGTATTTAAATGAATATTTTTTAAATTTAACTACATAAAGATCAAGGGAGCCCATTTTTCACAGAGATCAGGAGGTCCAAGCCCATTTTTCACAGAAATCATGATTGCCATCTGTACATTTTAAGGATCAGTTCTGGCACATCATAAACTTGAAAAATTGGTTCTTTCTGAGAGTTATTACACGCGGTTTTTTTTTTCAGAATTAGCTTTATGCTCATAAACCTTTCTTTCCCTTGATCTTCACATAACGTTAGTAGTGGAATTTGTATGCTCCTGTATAACGGCCAAGCACTTTTTTAACCCACTGACGGTTCTGCATGCAAAAAGTCGTCTTCAACCTGCAGTCTTCTCCGCATAGCTAAACAGGTTTTTCAATGTTATTAGATAGAGAAATAATGTATTGGGGAGAAGCATTCTCCCAATTTTGGGCGTTTTCTAAACCACCTATGCGTTAAAACTAACAATTGATATGACGCCTTGTGTTACTCAATCACTAATGAATTACAAAACAAATTTGCTCTAAAACCATCAATTATGACAAACACTAATTCATTATGGTTCAGCGATTTTGCATACTCCCTATATACGCAAAAAATCGAAGAAGGCATGAGGGAAAAAAAAAAGGTTAGGCAGAGTCCTAACAGTTGTGCAGTTTTCTATCGCGGAAAAACAAATGACAGGCCAGCTGCAATTGGAAGCTACAATTTGGAAGGGAAAAAAATTCTTTTTTTTTTTTTTAAGTTCATAGTAGAAGGAAAGAATGAAAATAATTCTGAGTATCAAACTATTACATTGCTGCTTCGCTTGGTGCAAGCGATATACTCGTTAAGATTGTTTTAGAAAATAGCAGATTCCCGCTTTTATCTCACAGAAATTTATTGACATTTACAAAAAGTTTGTTGAAGAATGAGAATTTGTTACAGTTTGGGGAAAATGCCTCGAACACCAAATTTGATGTTAAGCATTAGTTGAAAATGTTAAAACTTCAGATGTCGAATGAAAAAATGATAGCAGAAACTGAAAATGTGCAAAACAATATCTCTAGAATGGAGATTGTTTTAGACAAACTACTTAATTTCAAATTCAAAAACTTTCGTTTTAACATGATTAGTTCAGGATTTCTATCATACTTATTTTCGAAAATACAACAACTCAAGAGCATGCAATCAAATTTTGAAGCTTACCCTATGCCCCATGCATCAGCATTTTAGTTTAAATTTTAACTAGCACTGCTCTGGGGGAAATAACTTATAGCTTAAAATTTTATACCAATTAGTTACCTCAAAATTATGTTTACAACATTAGCAAGAAATGAAGAAAACACAGATGATGGAAAAACACACAGAGTCAATAATCAAAAACTAAAAAGTTCTTACTCATCTGAGAACTGCTCTTCTTTCACCCTCTTAGAACTTTTTTTTTTTTTTTTTAGAATCTCCAGTATAATTTTTGTACTTCTTTTTAAAACATTTCATACAATTAAATTTTAGAATCTCACCTATGTGAGCATTAGAAATTCGCATAGATGAAATCCCTCACTGAGGTTGTATTTTACCCTGTTACTCCCCTAAAATCTTAATTTTTGATCTCATTTTAATCTTTTCGAATTTTTCTTTTTTAACTTAACACATCTATTTGGTCTAGTCATTAAAAAAAGGCACTCCTGAATCAGGATTACTCCTTATCCTGATTCAGGATAAGGAGTGATCCTGATTTATTGTTTAAGTACTTCAGGATTACTTCTGAAGTGGCTCTTTCATTGATTTCCCACCCCCTGTGACTAAGTTTGTTATTTTTAGGACATGGAACAGAAGATGAGTAGAAAACAACTAGAAAATCTGGACACAAGCCAGAAAGACCACAACAGACCCACATGCTCAAATTGAAATAACACAATTCTAAGGAATTTTTACTAACAAACTACTCTTAACAGAAACTGCCAAGATAGAAAGATATCAGCAGGGGTCTGTCTAGGTTTTTCTGAGAGGTACCTATTTTGTGAAAATTTAGACATAATTTGTAAAAAATTAAAAATTATATTTAAAAATCAACACAAAAATATAGATTTATCCTTTCTTAAGGGATACAAAAATAAAATTTTAAGAAAAAGTATTTTGTGTTCCTAAAATTGAATTTGTGAAGGTACCGCTTGTGAAGGTACCGTAGTAAATACAGTCTGGACAGACCCCTGATCAGTTAAAATCGGATTTAAATAAAGATTTCCAAAAAAGAAACATGCATGTTAAATTCATTTACCATACAAAAAATAGCTGTTGCATTAATAAAGAATATGTAATTTATATCTAGACAAACTAAATAAATAAATAAAAATTTCATTGACTCTCTCTACATGTATTAACCCACTTTTAGTGCAATATAAAATTCCTTTGACAAGTATAACATGATTTCTACGACAAATTTTGATACAAAACTCTTAAAAATAAGATACATTGCTAATAAACCTTTAGTTCAGTAGTTCAATATCAGTTTATTAATTAACAAAACACTATTAGATGAACTAAAATAGTAAGTATATTACCAATACATTAAAATATTGCCAAGAGTGAATGTTGTGTATATTAATTCTACCTTACATCTAAAAGAAATACTATGATACTTTAGTAAATTTATATTTGATATATATGACATATAACTTATTTTAGTACACAGTATAACCAGTCTAGGATACATTATGGATGCCTTTATGCTTTAAGCCATTTCTTCGTCAAAAAAATAAAAAATAGTTGATTATGCTTATTGTGAATACACATTAGTTCATAAATGCAAACTATATTTAATCTGAAATTGAATAAATATTTGCCCAATACATTACACAATACTTTTGATTAAAGAGATCCACAACCCAAAAATTTTAAAAATAAGGACCAGAAAAGGTCCTTATTTTTAAAATTCTTTTATTACTTGAAAAATAAACAATTCATAATCTTTTAAATGGGAAAAAAGTTATGCTTACATCTCAATTGAAAGAAAAGTCTAGATTTAATCCTTTTTACTTATTTAACTACATATATGATGTTAGAGGGCCCTGATCACAATTTTTAGTTTTTACAAATTAAAATGAAATACATAGCTGACAACTTGTATGGTTAATGAGAAAGATTTTTTTTTTTAAAAAAAAGTTGAATTATAATGTGAAGTAGGAAAGTTTTTGTAAATTGAAAACTTTCACCAGCACTTAAAAGCGTAAATGATTGGCTAAATCTTACACAAATATGTTTGAATTACTAAATTATAGTGTTGGAGAAAACAATTCGTTTGGAAACATCAAAAATTAATGTTTAAACATGAAAATATACATGGTACCTACTTCCACTAAAAGAAATTGTTTTCACTGACCATAGAATTTGGCAACAATTAATGTATCTCAAATCTTATTAAAAAAAATAACTGTACCCACACAAAAAATTTATATATTTATATTCACGTTACTTAGCTTTTATCTGTTTTCAAGAAACTTGTAAAGCAGGCTTAAATTCTAAGCTTTTCGAGCAATAAAATGAAAATTATTAAATTTATTATTAAGAGATTTAAAAATATTTTTAAATTAATGCTAAAAATACAATTTACTTTTGAAGATTTTCATCCAAAATAAACCAAAAACTATAAAAATATTAATGTTTTCAGTTACATCAAAAATTAAAAACATCAATTACTTTAAAAATGAGAGTGTTTTTTCTTTTTCGTATATTGAACATAAAAATATAGAATGATTACATGCATTTAAAAAAAAAAGATTGAAAAATGCTAATACTGTTAACATATTAGACTAATTATATAAATATGAAAAATTATTTTTGGTTGTATTTTAACTTTTTTTTCTTACTTTTTCTGCTACGTAAGAAATTGGGGGAAAAATAGTCGATAATAGAAATAGAAAAAAACTTAATCAATAATATTTTGTTACATATATTTTCATGAAATTGTAGAGATAATAGAATATGACGAAAATTTAATTACACAGTATGGTAAACCTAAATTACCGGTATAAATATTTTAAAATTAAAGAAAAATAACTCACCGAAGCACCAAGAATGATGAAAACATAACAGGATTCTTCCTTAGGCTGCTTTTCCAAATGTTGAAGTGATTCCTTCAGTAATTCAAGACATCGTGGAGAAGCAATAGTTTCGTTATTTTCATTCATATTTAATCGGAAGGCACAAACTTTCTTTTGGTCACGGGAAGTTTCAACATTAACAGAACCTTTTTCAACTTGAAAGGAGCGCGAATTAACAATGCTTTGAACACAACCCAGATTGACGGTTCTTTCTATTAACTGCTAAAACGTAATTAAAAACAATCAATTACGAGTAAAAGTGATTCCAATGCTTAAACAAAGTTTATTAATGCAGAACTAGCGAGTTAATTAGTGCAAAACTCAAGTCTCCGTTTACTCCATGGATGATTAACGCAGCGTAGAGATCAACAAAACACGAAACTCACACTACTGCTGTCTCTTCATGTCACTTTACTGAATTTAAACCGGAAAAGCAGAAATCGGAAATCGTGCTGACTTTCATGTATCTTTCCGCGAATGTTGTTTATAAGGCGATGTGTTAACAGGCTCCTTATCCTGCTCTTCTATGGAAAGAATACATTCTTTAACACCCCCCTCAGGCATTTATTATTCATAACATATAATGGATAATATTTTATCGGTGGATTTATTTAAGCTTTATTAGGGGTCTAAATATTAATTGAAGTCGAAAGAATTATTTCTTTAAAAGAAATATATTGATTTTTAATACCTAATTTAAATGTGTTAATTGTATATAATTTTTTTTTTCACTTCTATAAAAATAAACATCTTACAAAAAATTGATGAAAAGAAGCAATTATTAGCTCATTTATTTTCAAAACTATTATCTATTTATTTTTTATAATGACTGGTTACAAGAATACTAAATAGCAAATATAACAAAAAACGACCTGTACAAAAAAACGGGAATAACGTGTGTTTAATTCATAATTTAAATAAGCTGCATTTGAACACAAATATTGAAAAAGGGAATTGCGAATTTATATTCTATTTAGAAACGAGGTGTCGCAACATTTATTTTTTTATTTGTAAAGTACTGTTTCAGAACTTTTAGTTTTAAAAAATGATATAAAATGATTACCGAATAATTTAAAGGGGAAAAAAATTATATTTAAGTATAAAACATATATTTCATTTGTTTAAAACTACCTAGTGGTAGTTTAAAAATACTGAAATTTATTCTTCATTAAACTTACTATAAAAAGCTTTAAATGTGTATTTGAAATAAAAAGAAACTTAATTAAGATATTATTTCATTTTTAGGTTAATTCAATATTGTAAATGTGGTTACGAATTACTTCTATTCTTATTTATATGAACACCTAATTATGTTTAAACTTTTTTACTGGTAGGATTCCTTTATATGCTTTTCTCACTAATGTATATTTTTAAAACTTCAGTTTGTTTTTGTTTTAAGGAATTCTAAGGTTTTAAATTTTTTCAAAAAAGAAAAAAATATCTAATTCAATTCTAATTTGTCTTCTTCTTCAGCATGAAAGAATACTAATTACCTTTACACTTAACTAAGTAAGCCAACTTTTTTTTAAATATTTCTAATAATTATTTTGCTTATTAGATTACATCATTACATGGAGTTAAAAACTAACATTAACTTTTGCTTTCAAGAGAGAACAAGGGTTTAAAATTTTCAGAATCTAGTTTCCTTGAGACTGAAGCGGACCTCAATGAAAAATAGACAGATAATCAAGGTTTGGATACTTTCAATTCCTCCTTTGCACTGATGGAATGTGATAATAATGTATCATAGATTTAACCTATTTTTTATTTCATTTTTATGAAAATTGTAAGAATTTACATTAAAAGTTGTGATTATGGAACTCTCTTTACCTGTGATTTCTGAAAAAGATTACTTTATCTTGGAAATATTTAATACGAGGAATGACATTTTTACTATGAACCTTAAGTTTTATGTCTATTCGCAATCCTAGAGCTGTATCTAGTCTGGTTATGATTTTTTTGGTGTATATCTATACAAATATGCTGAAAATAAATAAAATATGCCAGAGTATAGTTTCCTTTGAAATGAAATCTAAAACGAATTGCTACAATTTATTTCGATTTGAAAAGCACAATGAGGAATACTAATGAAGTTTTTTTATACATGCATGTTCTTCCCATAATTTATTCAACATATTGTTACAAGGAAAATAATTTTTTTTTTTAAAATTGGTATTTTACTCTAAATAATTTCATAAAGGCAACCAAAATATTAAATAAATAATGGGTTTGGTCTAAATATAATTAAAAATTTTAAAACTCATTACTGGTAAAAAAAAAAAGAGAGAGAAGCTCATTTTCTCCCATGAAACCCTGGGAACCACAGCGGTATACATTTGTAAAACTTCTCAATCACAATTATTTACATCCACAAGTTGACTTAATAAATTTTAACATTAAACTATTAATGTAAAATGAGTAACAGAAATTTTTATTTAAAAATATAAATTCTTCCAACTTCAAAACAGTTACATTTTTCCTTTTGTTTACTAGGCAGCTCTGCCTTTTAAGTTTTTTATATTTTTAATTTTTTTTTATAAGTATCAATTATGAATATAAATATTGGAGATGATTTACATCTAGCAACATCTAATCTCTTTTTTTCTGCATGGTGTTCTTTACTACAAGTTCAACAGTTAGTAATTCTCGAACAATCGAATGTTTTTTTTCTTCATTCCATCGTACTCAATGTATATTTTCTAAACCCATTTGAAATTTAAAGTTTCAGCACATTAATTTTTTATAACAAAACAAAATATAACGTAAGGTTATATAAAGCAAAAAGAAAAGAGAGAGATTTATGAAATAAAGCACTTAGAACTGTATTAATTTTCAAAGAAATTGTATTTCTCGAATTGATTAAGTTCATAAATAAATATTCTTTTCCAAATTAAATTTCACCTCTGTAGCTGAATTTCTGTGGGCTGCAGAGTGGCCCACATAGTATTTTTGGTACAAATTTAATTGCAAATAATTCTCGAACTAATAATTGAATTTTTTTTTACTCTACACAACTTTGCAATATTGCTTATATATAGTTTTATAAAAACGAAATGTAACACAAAGTTGCCCAAAACAGAGGCAGCTGCTAAAAGGTTTTAATATAGAGAGAGCCTAGGGGATTCTCCCCCAGCTCGTCTTGCTAACTAACCCCTTTGATTGCAACAAAATCATTTTTTTTATTTATTGACGATAAACACATTGTTACATCAAAATTAAATATTTAACTGAAAGATAACAGAATACTTTATTGTATAAACACAATTTTTGTTTACAGATTTAATTTCCCATTTTATTGGGTAGAAACATTAGCCTATTCATTTTGCTCAGCTACCATTACAACTTCATCTACACATTTGTTTCATAAAATTCCATTAAATTTTTGGTAAATATTGAAATTTGTTAAAAGTGTTTTACCAAAGGATTGAATTATTAAATAAACTTTTATTTATTTAATAATAGTGTGCTGTGGTACAGCCAGAAAATCTTTCAGTGTGGAGTTTTATAATTGATGGTTTAAATATCTATAAACTTTTAATATGCAGCACTTTAAATAGAAAAGCTTTCTCTTATTCAATAAACTGCTTTTAAAGTATTATTATTGAATAAAATCCATAAATTAATGAGTTGAGGAGAGAGACTTAGTGTGGACAATATATTTACCAATAGGTTAAAAAGTTTACTAAGCATCAATTAAAACATGCCTAGATTTTTTTTAAAGTTTATAATTTTATCTTTATTCGTAACTCCACATAATAAAATTATTTGTTTCAAAAAACCCACACACTTTTCATTTTCTTTTAAAAGCTCGTTATATTTTCAGATAATTTTAGAAATTATATGCTTTTTCAATCTTTTTCATGCAATTTTTGATTCATAGTATATTAAAACCACTTGACACATAAGCACTGAAAACATTTAAATTTTTTTTTTCAATACTATAAAATTGCTGAGAAAAACTTTTGTGCTGTTCTTTTTATTTTTACCCTGTTATATTTTTTGCATCTTTTTACTATGGAATAGCATTTTATTAATGCAACATGCTAATTTACTTTTGAATGGATCAGAAATTTAAAAATTTTTGAGGATGATTTCTGGTAGGAGTTTTAAACCTTAAAACATCCTCCTGGCTGTATAACTTTAAGATGTAATCAAAAATACTAATATTGAAATAAAAAATCATGTTTAGTGTATCAGATTTACAAGAATCCAAGAGGTAAGAAAGACAAAAATTACAATAAAAATAATATTTATTGAGAAAATATACAGAAAACAAGCAACAAATATCTTTTGTTATTAAATTTTATGTGAACCTATACTTTTAGTATCTACAATTAATGATGGATAGGAAAGTATCCTTTTTAATAACAAAATTTTAGGTTTAACATGCACCTGAATTGGAGGATACATTGAAGGCTCAAGAGTCCAATGTGAATAAGCATTAGTTATGTTTATTACAGAGTGAGTACGGAGGTAAAAAGCATCATTATGTCCAATATCATCAGTCCATTCAACTAGTAGATGTGTAAACTGCATGATTTCTAAACTTTTTAAAGATAATTCTTCAGATTTATTGTACCTAAATGAAAATATAAAAGTTATTTTTCAAGAAACAAAAATAAGCTATCAAGATCTTTCCAATTTTGTGGCAGTGATAGATCCATTAATATAAAAATATTATTAATTATTATTATTATGACATTATAAAAGTGCAAACTGGCTGTATTTTATTGCAATTAAGGAGTGTGGTGTTTAAAGATAAAATATTATTTTACATTTATAACTTGGTAATGTGGCTCCAAGTTTGCTTTTTTTTATGTTAAAAAATAAATTAAAAACTATTTATATCGATTGCTTAAAAATATGTTAATATGCTAATAAAATTGGTTAATAAAAATATGTTCTATCTGTCCATTTCTTTCAAAACTACTAAAGGATTAACTAAAATAATAAAAAGATACCCAAGTTAATAATTATATTGTTCATAAAATTATTATTCTGTCAAACATCAAGAAAGTAAAAAAAAAAAAAAAAGACTTAAAAATTGGTGAACTGATCTTCCCTAATGATAAATGAACAATTTAAAACAGAGCTCGTTATTTAGTTCATGTTTTGTATGCAACTTATGCATAGATTGTAATGTTCAAAATTTATTTATTTAAATAAAGGATAACTAACTTTTTCCAAATACTTCTGCTTATGTAAAATGTAACCCAAATACTTCTGCATTAGAAAATTAGTCAAAATGGTAATGTCAAAATATACATGTAAAGCATTTGTTAATAACAGCATATGCCATACACTTATAAATAAACATATTTTTGAAAACATTGTGTATATAATACATACTTCCACCTAGGATTAACTTCAGAGAATCGAGATACACCAGTTTGACAGCTAAACACATCAAAATGCACATTTACATCTGAAAAGTTATAGAACAAACTCATAATATAAAGCACAAAATATTTTATAGAAAATTTATATTCTTTTGAGCATATAAAATACTTATGTTATATAAGAAATATTAAACAACAAAAGCAGAGAGGAAGTAATGTGTTATTCAATTTGGATGTATTTAGTATTACTTAAACTATTTTTCTTTTACAAAACCTTAAACTAGCAGCAAATGATTCAAAACCAGATTTAAAAAAATTCATTCTGACATAAAAATTTACAGTACTTTCAGATTGTAAAACTTAATATTTAATCTTGGAATAACATACTTTTTAAAACGAACACACAAACAAACAGTGTGCAGAGTCCCACTGCATTTTGACATCTTTATCAATTTTAATTCTGCTAAATGCTTAAAGAATAATCACCTAGTTTTGAGAGGATAAAGCTGTCAGATAGCAAACTTTACCATGCATTTATCATCATGATATTCAAAAATTAATAAAACATCTATCTCTATCGCTACTTCACTTTTGCCCATTGATCTGTCAATCACATAAAAGTTCTGTTTAAAAAAAATTAAAAAATACATTTTCCTTTCTTAGATTTATAGAAAACTGCAGTTATATAATTGACACAAAAAGGAATGAGGTCCAACTATATTCCAACAGGGAAACTCTTAATGAAATCAAGACAATTATCTTAACAAAAGAAATAATGATTTTAAAAGAATTTCTTTCACTTGGCAGATGTTAATTACACTTAATATTTGACTATTGAAAAGATCCTAGCAAAAAAGGAATTCCATTTTTAAATTACTTGGGGCTGTCATGAATCCTAATAAAATAAACATGCAGAACAATATTTAGAAACTTCGAATAATACTTAAAACATTAATTTTATAACAACATTTATTTAATAATAATATTTCCTTAATAATATTTCCTTAATAATATTTCTTTAATAATATTTATTAATAGAATACGAAAGATTTTAATGAATATATATATCGGCTTAATTACCTTGTAGGCCACTTTCAACTTCATGAAGTTTATTTACAGCAAAGCCACCAGGATAATTGTAATAAGAAATATTCAACATTAGAGATGTGCCAAAGAAATTTATCATAAGATGGAAGATAACACTTTGCATTAGCAAACCATGCATGGAAGACTTGTTCCTGTTATTCCATCTAAAAACATAATACAAAATTTAATTAGCATATTGGAAAAAAAGTAAAAATTTAATTTAATAATAATTTTCCAACACTTGTTTTCATAGTCAATAGAAATAAAAATAAAAGAAAAAATAGGATTCAGTTTATGTTTTTGAATAATGTAACTAAATCAGGTGCTCCGCAAATATTTTGATATAAACTTATTTGTCAGAAGAAGTTATTAACTGTAATGAAATAGTTTCTCACAAAATCAATAGCAAATTTGTTTCAAACAGACTATAATAGGCTTGTATTTTGATTGACTTTTCTAGAAAAAGTACAAATTTATTCATCTAAGAAAATTATAAGATTGATATTATATTCCATAATTGTTTTGATGATTGCAACTGACATGCCAGTTATGGTGCCTTTAAGATGATTAAAAAACTGATACAAATTAAAGTTTAACTCTTAATAACACTGTAAGAACATATAATGAATTGGGAAAAAAGTACTATGATGGGGTTGTTTGCCCAATCTTTAACGTATAAGCATCATTGTAGTATTAAGCATATTTTAGAAATATGATACATTTCTTTGATTATGAAGGAGGGATTTATTATCTTTGATTATAAATCCCTTTTTATAATCATTTATTATCTTGATTATTTATTATCTTTGTAGATCTTATTATAAAGAATATGATTATATTTTTAAAATCATAAAATAAAAAGGTGCTTTGTGAAAGAGATGTGGAAATTCATTCTTCCCATTCCCAAGAATTCAAAAAGTAAAATTAAAAGGGAATGGCCCTAACAAAAAAGAATTCAAAATTAAAAATAAAGTGAATTGTTCCCAACAGACATTGAGGAACATGGGAAGAGATTCATGTAGGCGATTTATTGAAAGATAAAATAGCCAAAAACAAAGCCCACCACCGTAGTCAATATTAAATTTGAAAATAATTTGGCTATGGCTAATTGCAAATAAGGCTGCGAGAATTAATATAACCCTGTAACTAAAACATTTTTGTGGTAAGAGAAATAAAGAGTTAAATAGATTTTGATGTTCGATTTAGCGGCAACAGTGAATTAATGAGTTTTACATTCATATTGATATAAAAAGTTAGCCATTACATTGATTGTTAGGACAAAATGTATAAAATATTTATAGTAGTTTTTTATAAAAAGTAATAAAAATTAAATAATTGGTTTAATTTAATTAAAATTTCATTAAGAACGATTAAAAAAATTAATTTACGAAATTTTTAAAGCTATATATGTAATGCCTATTATGTCATCACAAGTACCACTGTGAAATTTCAAAAAAATGAATTGATTTACTTTAGTATAAGTCTGCAGCTCAAGAACTATTTTGTAAAGTATAAGTTACACATAAAAATACAAAGATATAGTGCATTTTACAATGCCACAAATGCAATAAGTCACCACAAATTATTGTCATTTTCCAAAAGCTGCACTTGCTACAATGTGAAGCTTACACATAGCATTACCTAAAAAATTATAATGCTTTTCAAAGCATTTTTGGAATAAGCAAATAAATCATTGTGTTTATGGCCCTAAAAAGTTTGCGGGATACTTACATATGTGCACATGTTCTTGCAGCAGCAACATTTAGAAGAGGAACTGTATACATAATAAAACGTAGCTCTTTGTGAGGCAAAAAAGAATACAAAATAATGAATCCAAAAGCAGGATACAGTATTAGTCTGGCTCGATAATCTAATTTAAAGGCATATGGTACAAACAATATTGAAAGTAACAAAGCTCGTGGCAATGCTGAGTAAAAATACCACGCCCAAGGTGAAGTCTAAAATAAATTAAGGATTTTTTTTAAAATAGTAGCATTTAAAACTCTATTCATGATTCAAGATAAAGAATTACAAATATTTAGATATTTAAGCAATATTTTGCTTTAATTCATACTTCAAAGTTTCAAAATTAAAATCAATATAAAACAAAAATAGTATCTTTATTTTGTAACAGTTAAAAAAATGATAACTTTTATATGATGACCTCCAGTAAACTATCTGTATTTAATTAATAACTTCCATATGAAATGTAATATTTAATACTTCAATGCAGTAAAACCCTAATTATCTGACTGACTCTGAAGCAGGGGTTGGTTAGAAAATTTAAACTGTCAGATAATCGTGGAACCACTTTAAATCCATTTTTTAAATGCATAAACATTAACTATGAATGAAATTACTAAAATAATCTATATTATAAACAAATATTTCTGATGAAAGTGTTTAAATACATTTTTTGAAAAGTAATAATAGTTGTTTAAGATTCAATTTAGTGAAATGATCAGCAACAGTTATTGGAATAGTATTTTCCAATAAAAAGCTACTAAAAACTACAACTACTTCTGGGAAATAATCACAGGAAGCGCACCTGAGGTGATCAGAACAATGGATTGGTTTAAAAGCAAAAATACTGCAGTTTCACGAAAATTCAGATTTTTTTATAAAAATATCAGATTTGATTTAAAAATTAGGAACAAATCCGAAAAATTCTGAACAGTTGGCAGCTATGTAAGTCCAGTGTTCTATTTCTTGAGCCACATCGCTCTCGTATCCTTCATCCATACTCTATCAGCATCATGTTCATAATATTCTTTCTCAGGAGAGAGTACTTCTCTTTTTAACTCCTTTCCTCCCCTGTGATAGGGGAACGACACTTCCCATGTCCTTCACCCACTGAACCTCAGGTCAGAGGTCATTTAGATGCATGAGAGCATAATCAGAGTCCTGACAACTTCTATTTTATTTTTCTTGCATAAATAATGATACTTATCATAATTTAATTAACAAACTTCCTACACTCTGCAATAGTTATAATACTACTGTAATCACATGTTGATTTATTAAAGGTATTGTTTTATTCAATGTACACTAACAGTTTCCTTATTGCTAAATTGTTTATTACAAGTATCGTTCGTATTGCATTTTAACCAATCTAAGGATATACAAGGAGTAATATTTTCTAGGCCTGGGATTTTGGACATAAATGAAATAAAATCTGACACATTGTCATAAATTACATCAACTACTTTTTGTTCTTCATCTGCACACAACTTTCATCTGCTTTTTTACAGAAGTTTTAAAAAAATAATAATAAATAAGGCAAATTTTAGCTAAAGTAGCAAATTTCCTTGTGTAAGGCTTTCAAATTTTGAAACACTTGATTTACTAACTATAACAGCTGTTGAATAAAAACTTTTAAATATAACCTTTTAACCTAGTTAGAAATGATAAAGACACAAGTTGAAATGGGTGTTGAATAACTGATGTGTCAAATAAGCGGCAGTCAAATACTTGGGGTTCAACTGTCAAGGTATTAACATAAAAATGAATTTTAAATTATCACATGTTTAATGAAAGCATTGAATTAAAAAAAATACTTTCAATTTATACCAAGCAATGATGATTTAAATATTTAATATTGTTCAGATAAAAATAAAATAAACAAATTTCAAAGGTTAAATTAGCTGTTAGTGGGTACATTTTAAAATTGAATTTCAAAAAATAAAATTCATTAAGTGAAGATATACTTAATATTATGACAAAAAATCTAAAATTAATATTAAAAAAATATATAGTATAATAAAGTAAAATTGTAATTACAATTTTAAAAAACAAATCAAAGTAGTAGTCAAAGGAAAACTAAAGATATATACTGAAAGGATACACCCCATTCAGAACTTTTATTTAAATAAATATTAAACCATAAGACTTCCCCTTCTGGCCAAACTGGGCGCATCCAAAACAAAGAATCAACACAAAACGTTAAACCTACAATCAATATTTTTTAAAGATTATTTAAAAATAACCATTATTCTGAATTAACTACAATTTGACAACATAGAATAAAAATTAAAGTTTTATAGTATACAATTATTATCTTTAAGAATTCTAACAGCCCATGATAACTGGGTAGTATTAAACTTTTTTTAAAGACACAAATATAAGATAAATTTGAAAAAAAATTACAGATTATCCAAAATATTTCTATGTTACATTTAATACATTTTCATATAAAAATCTTATATTTTCTATTCATTTATTTTTTTAAAAAAGAGTATTTTTACAAATGAAAAATATTAAAATTCAATTTTTTATTGTATAAATAATTTTCATTTAATGGTACTGAGTTTTCCCTGCTCAATCTACTTTTCCATTAAATAACATGCAGGCAACTGTTTTTTTTTATTTATTTATTTTTTTTTGAAGCAAGAAAAACTGTAGCAAACAATTTGGAAAACATCTAAATTAATGCTCAGAGGCTTAAGCTAATGACAAATGTAAATTAATTAAATAGTTTATAAATAAATTTGAAAATTAACTAAATTACTAACAAATCATAACATCACAAAATGCTAAAGGAATTTTATATACAAATGACAAATAAACAAAAGATGAAAGAAAAAAATAAATAATGAATAAATTTATATAAAAATATAATTTTAATAATTATAGCTTTATAATAGTTATAATTTTACAATAATTATAACTTTAACAAATTTTTTAAGAATTAATTTGAAAAAGTCGAAACTCTGGGAAAATGCAATCAGAATGAAATATTAACATTTTAAACCCCATTTAGCATTTTAAGCTTTTTATTTTAGAGAACTTAAGGGCTTGTAATTAACTAATCTGGTTAATTTTTGATGTAGATGTACCAGCTATAAAATTTTCTCCAATATTCTCTATCATAAATTCTGATCTGTTGCAAGAAAATTTATTTATGATCAGATTTTCTTTTTATGCCAAATTCTTGAAAGATCAATTTTATTTAGTAATGATACTTATCACTGAAACAAGAAGGCTCAAATGGATGCAATGAATGAATTTAAAAATTCAAGCAAACTCATTAGGTAATGTGAACAATAAGTGACACCAATTGTAAAATCAGATTTGTCAGAACACTCACAAAGTGCTAAGTGAGTGTGGTGTTTCACAGGATGATTGTTGCTAGGAGAATCCCAACTTTGAAAGAATACATTGATGTGTTACTCTAAGATAAGAAATCCAGTTACAAAAAAAATCATACGTCTCTTTCTGTTGAATTTTCAAGAATAAATCAATTTACTTTATACAGAAAAATAAAGTAACACACCTAAAATCCATCATCAAAATATCAATGATATAATTTGAATCTTTTTTCCCTAAATCATCTCACCCTGCATAACATTCCTCGACAAAGAATTCAATAATATATTCAGCTGTCATATTCTAAAGCAGCTGAAAATCCATATCCAATAAATAAATTTCTAAAGCTTAAAAACTACTTTTCTTTCTAAAAAAATTTTAACACTTTAACTGTCTATAACAATAGTACAATATTACATGGAAAAAAACACAGGAAAATTTTTTTTAACAAAAACTAATACCAATGTAACTTTTCAAAACAAGAATCAAAAATATAAAACTTAGGCATAACTATGGGAAATACATTAGAAATTAGAGACAAAGGCAGAGAAAAGTTTTTTTTTCTTGTTAATTTTTTGTTTTTGTTTTAAGGAATTCTAAGGTTTTAAATTTTTTCAAAAAAGAAAAAAATATCTAATTCAATTCTAATTTGTCTTCTTCTTCAGCATGAAAGAACACTAATTACCTTTACACTTAACTAAGTAAGCCAACTTTTTTTTAAATATTTCTAATAATTATTTTGCTTATTAGATTACATTATTACATGGAGTTAAAAACTACTAAGAAAATAACAAGCTAATAAAAATAATTAAAATTAATTAAAATAACTAATAATTAACCATCAAAAGTAACCCTGAGATGAAGAAAGGATTAATGCTGCCAAGTATTCACTTAACAAAAACGAGTATTTAATCCAATCTTGGTGAATAGGTACATATTATGAATTAGTTAAGAATAAGTTACATCATACATCCTCCAAGATACACGACATTTGTCAACCAGCCCCAAGTTTCAACTGCTGGAAGCAAAAAGGAAAGAGCCAAGTTCGTGTTAGTGTGTAATGTTTGCGATTAGGCCTCACCCTCCACTGAGCAAGACAGTTCTCATGGTCTTGTCACCCTTTGTAAGGCAAGTCCACCGCAGTCTATTTTTAAACTAAAATTTTTATGAATTCCAACTTCATCAGCTACTTCAAAAAACTTCATTTATGCTGAAATTAACAATTATAGACACAAAATAAGTCTATTTTAAAAGAAATAACTGATCATATAATAATAAATAACTTAATAAGGATTACTTCATAAGTAAATTAATCTTACCTAGCATCCATAAGCCTGAAGGAATTCCCCAGCAAAATATTTGTAATATGTTTAATCTCCCTAAAACAATTTCTTCTAAGGCTATCAAGCCTAAAAGAATTGACAGCTCAGCCCGGAAGAGTATAACAGCTGCAGCAGAGGTTAACACAAACATCCTTTGGTTTCTACTCATCCAGAAATGATAGGCAAAAAGAGCTAAAAATGTAATAAATATTATTAATATAATGAAAGCTCATTATAATAACACCTGTTTAAAAAAACATTAAAAAAGGAGATTTCTATAATGTTAGTCTTCAAATAAATTGTAAATATTACCTCATAACTAAACATGCTAGAAAAATTTCGAAAAAAATATATTACTGTATTAAAAATAACATTTACAAAATACTTGAGCTGACAAAATAATGAAAAATAACAGAAGTTTTTTTAATATAAATATAAAATGGTATGAGCAGCCATCCTGTGTGCATGTATACTAATTAGCTAAGCTTACAGAAAAGAAAAAAGATAGGAGAAAGAAAATTCAATTAATGCATATTTTTGTAACATTAAGAAGCTAATTATAAAACTGATTAACAGTATATATAACTGTAGTTTAGATAGTGCATATGAATTTTTTTTTTGAAAGAATACTATAACAATACTGTATGTACTAGTGTATAAGTCGACTTTCCAAAACCCTAAATCTTATTTAAATCAGGGGGTTGACTTATAAACCGATAATCATGTAGGACATCCATTGGTCGTGAAATATCAATGCATTATAAAGAATGAGATAAACATGAATAACTTTGTATTAATTTACCCCTTTCTAAAAGAATTTTTTATGTATTATATACAATAAATATAGCATTATAGCATCGAATAGTTATAGATGGGGTAAACTGACTGAGACGGCCTTGGCTGGTAATCGGCTATAATTCCCAAGAAGAAGAAGAATATTGCATTTTTTGTGCATATAATGGTTAGTTTATTTAAAACAAATCTTTACATTACGACCAGAAAAATTAAGAATAAGAAAAGTTAAGATAATTTGTTCTAGAGCAGGGGTCGGCAACCTGTGGCTC